GCCAATAGCAAAGCAAGATAGGTGGGACTAGGAGTCTAGGAGGATTCTGGGAAATGTAGTGAAGAGAGCTGTCGCCATGTGATCTTACAGGAAAGAAGACAGAAGTTTGCATACTGAGTAAGATAAGACCGTATAAAAATATATATTAGTAATTATGGGTAAATAATTAAGTCAGAGCCAGCAAATTAGAAATCATAGCAAATGGCCAACAGCTTCCTATACTGTCTTGTGTGTTATTTGGGGGATAAATCAACAACGGGACCTACGTGAGAATCCCACATCGAACCCCACCTGTACCCCCACTGAAAAAAGGGATGGGAAGACAACAATATAAGAACAAATTCAACATCAGAAAAACAAATATGAAGCCACCAGAATCTAGGGACAATACACCAGTAAGATCTGAACATCACAACACTTAGGTAATAGATAATCCAAATTTACCAATGGCCAAAAAATATCAGGGTAAACACTCAAAGAATAACACCACCAAGAACAAATCAAAAACAAACAAGAACTAGCACTCAATGGTCCTTAATTTCACTCAATATTCATGGTCTTAATTTGCCTATAAAAAGACACAGGCTAACAGAATGGATATGAAGACAGAATCTATCCTTCTGCTGCATACAAGAAGCACAACTCAACTTCAAAGACAGACATTAACACAGAGTAAAAGGCTGGAATAAGATTTTCCAATCAAATGGTCCCAAGAAACAAGTTGATATAGCTATATTAGAATCAAACAAATTAGACTTCAAAGTAAACTCAGTCAAAAGAGATTAAGAAGGTTATTTCATATTCATCACAGGAAAAATCCATCAGGATGAAGTCTAAATTCAGAACATCTATTTCCCAAATACAAAGCCACCCACATTCATTAAAAAATTACTAAAACTCAAATCACACAGAAGACTTCACAGGTGGAGTGACTTCAACACCCCACTCTTACCACTAGATAGGACCACCAGAAAGAAACTAAACAAAGAAACAAAGGAACTATCAGAAATTTTGACACAATTGGGCTTAACAGACATCTATAGAACATTCCATCCAAACACAAAAGACTATACCTTCTTCTCAGCAGCACATGGGACCCTCTCTAAAACTGCCCACATACTTGGCAATATAGCAAACCTCAACAATTACAAAATAATTGGAATAACCCTGTGTATCTTATCAGATCACCATGCTTTAAAGTTAAAATTCAACAACAACACAAACTGCAGAATCCCTTCAAGGTAAAAGAAATTAAAAATGCATAATTGCACCATTTCTGGGTCAAGGAAGAAAAAAAGAAAGAAATTAAAGACTTCCTAGAATTCAAAGAAAATGAAGACACAACATACCCAGACTTTTGGGACACTTTGAAAGCAGTGCTAAGAGGAAAACACCAAGGGCTCATATGAAGAAACTGGAGAATAGTCACACTAGAGAGCAGCATAACTGAAAATACTAGAACAAAAGGAAGCACACTCACACAGGAGGAGTAGACACCAGTAAATAATCAAATTGAGGACTGAAATCAATAAAGTCAAAACAAAGAAATCAATACAAAGAATCACCCTTTACAACAGTCCCAAACAACATAAAATATCTGGGGATAATGCTAACCAAGCAAGTGAAAGACCAGTGTAGCAAGAACTTTGAGTCTTTAAAGAAAGAAATTAAAGAAGACATCAGAAAATGGAAAAATCTCTCATGCTCTTGGATATGTAGGATCAACATAGTAAAAATGGCAATCTTGCCAAAAGCAATCTATAGACTCAACGAAATTCCCCTCAAAATGCTGGCACTATTCTTCACAGACCTTGAAAGAAAAATTATCAACTTTATATGGAAAAACAAAAGACCCAGGATAGCCAAAACAACCCTGTACAATAAAGGAACTTCCAGAGGAATCACTATCCCTGACTATATAGAGCGATAGTCCTGAAAACAGCTTGGTTTTGACACAAAAATAGACAGGTAGATAAATGGAATCCAATTGAATACCCTGATATTAACCCACACATAGCATCCTCAACAAATGGTGCTGGAATAACTGGATATTGGAATGTAGAAGACTGCAGACAGATCCATGTCTATTGCCATGCACAAAACTTAAATCCAAATGGATCAAAGACCTCAACAGAAATCCAACCACACTGAACCTCTTAGAAGAGAAAGTGGGACTACCCTTAAACAAATTGGTACAGGAGCTGCTTACTGAACATAACACCAGTAGCACAGACACTGAGATCGACAATTCATAAATGGGACCTCCTGAAACTCAGAAGCTTCTGTAAGGCAAAGAACACAGTCAACAAGACAAAAAGGCAGTCCACAGAATGGGAAAAGATATTCACTGACCCCACATCTGACAGAGTGTTAATCTCCAAAATTTACAAAGAACTCAAGAAGGAAGTATCCAAAACACCAAAGAATCCAATTAAAAAGTGGGGTACAGAACTAAATAGAGAATTCTTAATAGGGAGTCTAAAATGTGTAAGAGACGCTTGAGAAAGTGCTCAACATTCTTAGCCACCAGAGAAATGCAAATCAAAACCACTTGGAGATACCATCTTAATCCTGCCAGAATGGCTAAAATCAAAAACACCAATGACAATTTATCCTGGAGAGGATGTGGAGAGATGGAAACACTCCTCCACTGCTGGTGGGAGTCAAAACTACTTTGAAAATCAGTATGGGGATTCTTCAGGAAAGTGGAATCAGTCTACCACAAGATCCAGCAATTCCACTCTTAGGCATATACCCAAAGATTCACATTCATACAACCAGGACATCTGTTCCACTATATTCACAGCAGCATTATTTGTAATAGCCAGATCCTGGAAGCAACCTAGATGTTTCTCAACTGAAGAGTGGATAGAGAAAATGTGGTATATTTACACAATGCAGTACTACTCAGCAGTAAAAAAAATGGAATCCTGAATTTTGCAGCAAGTGGAAGACACTAGAAGAAACCATCCTAAGTGAGGTAAACCATTCACAAAAGAACAAACATGGTATGTACTCACTCATATATGGATTTTAGACATGAAACAGGGAAGTGCCACCCTACAATTCCACTGTCAGAGAGTCTGGGAGAGAAGTGGAACTGGACAGGATCTCCTTAGGGGAATGGGAGCATAGGGGGAAGGGAGAGGGAGCTGGGAGAAAGAGAGGTGGAGTAGTGGAGGGGAGAGGAGGACATGGGGGACAGGAAGGTTGAGTTGGGGGAAAAATAGAGGAGAGCAGTGTGAGAGATACCACAATTGACGGAGCCACTATAGAATTGAGGAGAGATCTGGCACTAGTGAGATTTCCAGAGATCTACAAAGATGACACCCACTGGCAATCCAAAAAATAGTGGAGAGGCTACCTTAAATGTCCTTCCCAGATAATATGCGATGTTAGGTCCTCCTTCCAGAGACTAATGGATGCAGAGGCAGACAACCACAGCTAAACACTGAACTGAACTCCTGGAAACCAGTTGCAGAGAGGGAGGAGAAACGAGCAAATGGGTCCAGATCAGGCTGGTGAAACCCACAGAAATAGCTGACCTAAAAAAGGGGGAGATTACAGACCCCAGACTGATAGCAGATAGGAGAGCATAAGACTAACCCAGACCCCCTAAATGTGGGTGTCAGTGAGGAGGTCTCGGTATTCTTTCAGGCCTCAGATAATAGATCATTATTTATCCCTGGCATCCAAATGAACTTTGAGAGCCCATACCACATGGAGGGATGCTCTTTCAGTCTGGATACATGGGGGTGTACCAAGCCCTGTCCCAGGAAGATATGACAGACTTTTGAGATCCCCCATGAATGGCTTTACCCTCCCTGGAGAATGGAGTTGGGATTGGGTGAGGGGTTGAGGGGTGGGGGAAGAGGAGAGGGAGAGGGAGCTGTGATTGACATGTGAAGCAAGCTTGTTTCTAATTTAAATAAAAAATTTTTAAATACAGGTAAAATACATATTAACCTCACGTGGTGATAATGGGTGACTTTGGTTTCTCAACTCTTGCCAATAGACAGGCCATCTAGACAAAACTAAACAGAAATATAACAGAACTGACAGACATTATGACTCAAATGGCCCTCACATATTTACAGAACATTTCACCCAAACATGAAAGAATATAACTTCTAAGAACCTCATAGAACTTTCTTCAAAATAGACCATATACTCACGCATAAAGCAAGTCTTAACAGATACAACAAAGTTGAAATAACACCCTCCATCCTACCTGACCGCCACAGAAGAAAGCTGGATATCAACAACAGCATCCAGAGAGCTCACAAGACCATGGAAACTGAACAACACACTACTGTATGAAAAGTGAGTCAAGAGCAATTAAAAATTTTCTAGACTTGGATAAAAATGAATACAGAACATGCGCCAACATATGGGACACAATGGAGGCAGTTCTAAGAGACAAGTACATTGCATTAAGTGCCTACATAACAAAATGAAACAGTTTGTTCTTTGAGAAAAATCCATAAAGCTGACAATTGTTATACAGATTAAAATATCCAAATTAACAAAATTAAAAAAGAAAAAGGGGACATAACATCAGACACCAAGGAAAACCAGAGAATTGTAAATAAAAACTTTAAAAACTTGTACTACATGAACTTGAAAAATATAAAGGAAATCAAAATTTCTCCATATACATTCACTTACCAAAGTTAAATCAAGATAAGATAAGCAACTTAAACATATCTAGGACATCTAGTGAAATAGAGACAGTAATTAAAACTCTATCAACCATAAAAAAGGACCAGGGTCAGATATTAGTGCAGAATTCCACCAGACTGTCAAAGAAGCATTAGTGCTAATACATATCCAATTGTTCTTCAAAATACAAAGAGAAGGGATGAACTGTTCCCAATTCATTTTATCAAGCAACAGTTACCCCTGGCATCCAAATCACATACAGACCCAACAAAGAAAGAAAATTACAGACCAATTTCCTTTTATGAACATACATGCAATTCTTTCAATAAAATACTTACAACCCAAATCCAAGGGCACATGAACATAATCATGAAATAGGCTTCTTCCCAGTGATACATGGATGGTTCAACATTCATAAACTGGTCATTGGAATCCAACAAATAAACAAACTGAAAGACAAAAATCACAAGGTCATTTCATTAGAAAAGGCCTTTAAAAAATCCAGCACTCCTTCATGAAAAAAAGTCCTGGAGATATTAAGGATACAAAAGTCAAACCTCTACATAATAAAAGCAGTTTATGGTAAGCGAATAATCAACATCAACTTAAATGGAAAGAAACTCAATGTAATCCCACTAAAATCAGGAACAGGATATCTTATACCTATTTGATATAGTTCCTGATGTCTTTGATACAGCAATAAGATACCTAAAGGAGATCAAGGGGATACAAAATAGACAGAAAGTATCTTTATTTGTAGATGACATAATAGTATACATGTTTCTAAAAGCTCTGCCTGGGACTCCTACAGCTGGTTAGCACTTTCAGTCAAGTAGCCTCCCCAACTACAAAATCTGCTCCCAAATTCCAGGCATGGAGAATGACAAAGATTCTACACATCAGAACAGCCTTTAATGCCAACTGAATCGATACATCCACTCTTCTTCCCCAACCTTCTCTACCCATACCACACAGAAGAGTAAACAAAAAGTCCATGAGACCAAATCTAATAGCAGAAATACAAGCATTGTTAAAGACCAATGCAGTATCTTCCCCCAAAGCCATGAGTCATGCAGAAATGTTTGGCCACTGAAAATTACCTAGATGAAATCCAGAACACATATTTTAAAACAGCAATACAAGTCTTAAAAGATATAAACCTAGAACAATACACCTAGAAAACCTATCTACCATCATTGAAGGAGAAAGAGAAACTTTTTATAATATAAATTCTAAAAAGAAAATTATTCAACAAACCAAACCTAAGGAAAATATAAGAAGCACTATTTCAGGGTGAAGAGAGGAATGAGAATAGCCAAGTAACTGAAGAAAATTATATGAAGCCATAATTATCAAAATACAAAGTACCACTGAGAACATGAATACCACCGCTAATTGACAACATAATGACCTCAGTCAACACATACACTCAATGATAACTTCAAGTATTAATGATCTCAATTTTCCAATCAAAAGACATTTTATAGTTAAATGGGTCAAAAAGCAAAATACATCTACAAGTTGCCTAGAAGAAACACATAATAGGGCCGGGCATTGGTGGCAAATGCCTTTAATCCCAGAACTCAGGAGGCAGAGGCAGGCGGATCTCTGTGAGTTCGAGGCCAGCCAGGTCTCATATCGAGTTCCAGAACAGCCTCCAAAACAATACAGAGAAACCCTGTCTCGAAAAGCAAAACAAAACAACAACAACAAAAGAAACATATAATAGCTTCAAAAAAATATACCACCACAGAGTAAAAGGATCAATAAAAGTACTACAGTCAAATAGGACCAGGAAGAAAGCAGACATTGCTTTCCTAATATCTGATAAAATAAACTTCAAACTAAAATTAATCATAAGAGATTCAGATATTAAGCAAGGTATCTTGCCCAGCCTAGACACAGGGGTGTGGAAGATGGGGAGGGGCCTTGGTCCTGCCTCAATGAGATGATGGGACAGACTTAGTAGACTTCCTAGGGCAGGCTTTGCCCTCTCCAAGGATCAGAAGGGAAGTGTCATGTGGGGGAGATGGGGGTAGCCGAAGGAGAGGAGGAAGGGGTAACTTGGAGTAGAGTGCAAAAAATGGATTAATTTTTTTAGAAAGAGATACATACAGACATATATGTGCACCAAATTTCATCTTAAAAAATACTACTGAATTCAAACACATAGATTAACATCAAATCACTAAAAGTTTGTGATTTCAATATCTTATTTTCTTCAATAAACAGGTCATCTGAACAAAAGCTAAACAAAAAAATCAGAATTAACTAACATCATGTATCAAATGGGCTTAACAAATTTCTATGGAATATTCCACTCAGTGTCAAAGACTGTATATTCTACTCAAAAAGTTCTCTAAAATAGACCAAATCCTGGGTCAAAAATCAAATGTCTGCATATTTAGTAAGACTGAAATAACTCCATGTATCCCATATGACCACAAAATACAGCAAAGAAATTTGAAATAGAAACACAATTGTATGTTGATTAAGAAAGTTGTCATTCAAAAAAAAGAAGAAATCAAGAAAGTAAAATGTTTAAACTTCCTGGAACTAAATAAAAATGAAAACACAATAGAACAAAATCTCTGGGATACATTGAAATTGGTTGTGCAAGAGAAAGTTATAACCCTGAGAGTCTAAATTAAAACATCAGAAAGAACACAATAAGGGATTTAATGATGCAACTTAAAAATGGAAAGAACAAGAGCAAGCCAAATTCAAACCCAGCCCACTCCTATAATGCAAACCCATGCTAGGTAAAGACACAAAAATAAAGACAAAGTTACAGACCAATAATATCACTGGAAATAAATATAAACTGATAAATGCTCAATAAAATTCTTCCAACTCAAATACAAAATGCATTAAAAGATAATCTATCATGACCATGTTTCTTTATCACAAATATATGAATTGTATAAACATGATTTTTCATATATGATAAGGCACATAAATAGAATTAAGACAAAAATCACATGCTCATCTCAACAGATGTACAAAAGGTCTTTGACAAAATCCAACATGACTTCATGATGAAAGTCCTTGAGAAGGTCAGACTAGAGGGAACATGACTCGGTGTAATAAAAATTTTTCTAACTATAGAAAAATTGCAACAATCCCACTGAAATCTGGAATGAGGCAGAACTTTGCACTACCCTTATTCTTTTTAGATATTGTGCTCAAAGCACTACTTGGAGCAATATGACATGTGAAGGAAATTAAAGACATACAAACTGAGAAAGATATCAGATTGTCCTTATTTGTAGGTGACATGAGATTATGAATAAAAGATTTCAGAAATTCTAACAGAAAACTGCTATAAATGATAAACAAATTTAGCAATATGACAGGAAACAAAATGAACTTGTAGTTATTTATAGCTTTCCCATACAACACCAACATACAGAGGAAGAGATCACGGACATGCTTGCAATCACAATAGCCTCAGTAAAATATCTCAAAATTAACCTAACCAAGGAAGTAAAGGGCTTCTACAATGAAAACTTTAAACTTCTGAAGAAAGAAATAAAGACGAAATAAAAATGGGGAGACAATCTCTTCTCATAGATTGATTAAATTAAAATTGTCAAATGACCATCAACCCAAAGCCATTTATGGATTCAATATAATTCCTGTCTCATTCTTTACAGAAATTGAGGAAAACTATGATAAAATTCATATAAAACCACAAAAGATGCAGAATATCCAAACATCCTAAGCAAAATGAACAATGTCAGACAGATCATCATTCTAGTTATCAAGATTTATAATAGAGCCATGGCAATAAAAAACACATATTAGATCAATGAAATACACATATGACCATGAGTCTGTGTAATTTAGTCATTTAATGTTCTACAAAGATGCCAAAAAGTGTATGCTCAAGAAAAGAATGTATATTCAACAAGTGGTGCTGGGGAAACTGGAAGACCATGTGTAGAAGCCTGAAATTAGAGTCATATCTGTCACCTTTCACAAAAAATTAACTCCAAATGGATCGAAGACCTAAATATAAAACCTGAGACACTGAAACTGTTAGAAGAAACATAGCCAGTACCATGCCATACATGGCAGGGGTACAGGGAAGGACTTTTTGATCAGTACTCCATTTCCCCAAGAATTAAAACAATAATTGATAAAATGGGACTTCATAAAACTTCTACACAGCTAGGTAAACAGCCAATCAAGTGAAGAAGCCCACAGTACTAAAGAGAATATTTGTTCACTACACATCTGAAATAAGATTATTAACATCATATAAAGTAATCCAAATATAACATCAAAATTATGAATAAAACAAATGGCCCCTACAAAAAGAAATTAGGCCTGGTTATTGGTTACTCTTCATGACATGATGACTAGGTATTATTAGTGAATATGTAACTTATCTACACCATCAAACATGAAGAAATCTAGTCCAATGAGAAGGTTCACACTTGCTAAATAGTATTCATGGTACTGGAGGAGAAAAGTAATCATCAATATCACCCAGCTACAAAGCCAGCAGCCTACTACAGAGACCACCTTGCAAGAGTTGCACAAATACAAAAGAGCAATAAAACATATTTTGATTGGCTTTAAGGCCAACTCCAAGACAGAACTCATAATTGATGCTGCTGAGATGGCCAAGTACCTGGGACTAGACTGCCCATGGGCCATAGTACAAAGCCTACTGCTCTTATCCTGCTAAATAAACACAGTGATAAAATGACTGCTAATGATCACTATACCCATAGATCAGTGCTTTACTCACCCCTCATCAGAAAATGGTCTTGCAGTAGATGGAAATTAACACGGAGATTCACAGCTGGACAATGTTCATAGAGTGGGAGACCTTGACCCACTCAACCCTAAACAGAATGTTTTTTATCAAAACTGTTGTCTCAATGCCTCAATGCTCTGGGATCTATGGGGAAGAATGTGCAGAAAAGGTTGTAAAATTGTATCATCTAGACACAATAGGACTGATACAATTATGAACGCACACTGCCTGAGATAGCATGCACAAGGCACACACAGGTTCAAACTAGACAAAATCCTAACACTTAGAAGGAGAAGAGGACACAAAGTCCCACCCTAACCAATAAGCTATTTGCAACTGACACTTTCTGGGAAAGAGAAAATTCTCCAATCAAGTGTCACTGGGAAAATTAAACACACTCCAGGGTAGGATCCATGCCCAGAATTAGTTGGCAAACACAAAATTTACTACATGGTCTTTGTTCAATTTTTGTTGTTTAAGGGTTTTGTGGTTGGCTGGTGGCTTGATTTGGTTTTTTGTATTGTTTGCTTATTGTTTTCATTTTCAACAGTATGTTTGCTTTTATTTTTGCTCTTTGGTTTCTTTTTCTTTTTTATTAATTAAATTTATTTATTTATTTTATATCCCTAATCTAATTTCACTCCCCCCATACCCTCTGATGCCCCATCTACTCCTACTCTGTTTCTGTTTTGAAAGAGGCAGACCTCCAGTGGGAATCAACAAAGAATGGCATATCAAGTTGAGGTAGGACTAAGCTCCTCTCCTCGCTTTAAGACTAGGGAAGGCAACCCAGTATGAGGAATAGGTTCCCCAAAGCCAAACAAAACATCAGGGAAGAACCTGCTAGGAGTCCTGATAGTGACCAATGCAATGTGGAAACAAATATATTTATTAACAGGAGAAAGCACTTGCACACAAGCTGGGAGATGAGAAGCATGGCAGGCTTCCAAGAGAGTGGCTTTTTCCTTTTCCTTTCCTAAAATAGCTCACCTGTTCTATGTACCCTTGTCCATGACCCTTTTGTGCATATAAAATATTTTGGGCTCACCCATACAACTCCCCTTTTAGTCTAAATAAAAGATTCAAATTTGATACAAAACTCAAACATACGCAACATATACAATATAAGGTGGTAAGTGAGTTATGATCTGCTTATATCCTAAACTAAACATGGATCAGGAGAGTGCCAGTCTGCACTTCCACTGACAGAGAGTCTGGGAAACAGGAAAGAACCTAAAAGACATACATGGTACCCAAGAGAAGAGAAATGAGGCAAGATCCTCTGAACAGATGGGGAACACAGCAAGGGGTGGGGGGGGAGGGTGACCTTGGAAATAGAGAGGGGGAGAAGTGGAAGAGAGAGTAGGACATGGAGGAACAGGAAGGTCGACTGGGGAGGTAGGATAGGGGGAAGAGGGAATCATAGGTTAGAAGACAGATCAGGCACCATTGTGACCTCTAGTGATCTAAACGGATGACACCAATTGGCAAGCTAAGCAATAGTGTAGAGACCACCTCGAATGCCTATTCCTGATAGTGAACTTGATGTCTATAAACATCCTGGAGCCTTCATCCAGTGACTGATGGAAGCAGAGGCAAACACCCACAGTTAAATACTGAACGGAACCCAAGGAACGCAGTGACAGAGAGAGAGGAGCGAAGAGCAAATTGGCAAAGAATGGGCTGGCAAAACCAGCAGAGACTGCTGATCCAAACAGGGGAGAGCTCTTGGACCCCAGACTGACAGCTGGGAGGACAGCATGGGACCGATCCAGACCCCCCTGAATGTGAGAGTCAATGAGGAGGCCTGGGCTACCTATAGGGTCCTGAGCAGTGGATCAGTGTTTATCCCTCGAATACTAACAGACATCGTGTGTCCATAACACAAAGAGGTTTCTCTCTCTACCTGGACTCTTAGGGAAGTGCCTGAACCCTACCCTGAATGAAATGATAGACTCTAGATATCCCCTATGAGGAAGGAATTGGCAATAAGTTGGGAGGATGGGGGGATGGTGCGGGGTGCGGGAGGAGGGGAGGGAGAGGGAACTGGGATTGACAAGTAAAACAAGCTATTTAAAATGTTTAAAAAATTTTAGAGACCTTAAAAAAAGCCACCTTGAGAAATTCCCTGTGTAGCACGAGGCTAATTCAGTTCCAGCCAAGAAACCATAAACAGTTCCAAGGAACACCCAAACTGTGCCCACCCCATTCAAAGTGACCCCATCTGGGTGGTCAGGCAATGACTAATTTTGGTAAATAACATCTTTTCGTCGCAACTGTCCTTGTGGGCAACCATTAGTAACAATTTTGAAATTCCCGTAGCCCCCATGTCAATGAATCATAAGGTCACCTATTCCTGAACAGTCAAGGCATGTACCACCCTGCTTGTGGGTTTGGTTTTTTTCCCTTAAAAAACCCTTACAATTAAGACCAGGTACCCTTTTCCTGCAACTGCTGTGCCAGTTTCCTGGACAGGGACTCTGCCAAGGCTTGTAACGTAACATTAAACCTTGTACATTTGCATCAGTGAAAAAAAAAACATATCTATCCCATCTGAATCCTAAACTTACCTGAAAGGGATGCCCAAGTCTGAATACCTCCTTGCAAGCCCAACCCTAAAATAATTGAAAACTAACATTAACAGGTGTAAACTGTCCTGGAATATCAACAGGAGGGAAGGAGGGCATAATATTCTCGAAATTACCTCCTGCTGAAATGGGATGACAGTCTCATGGGGACCTGTGGGAAGAAAATGTTAGTGTAGCAAGAATCTTAAGTAGGTTAAATAGTCTCTGCCAGGAGATGCTTGATGGAAGTTCTTGACTGAAGTTCCAATGTTGATTGAAGTTCTCGTCTGAAGCTCTGGCCAGATGGTAGAAGGTGCAACCGTATCAGTTCCTTGGTCCAGAGTTGTGCCAAGTGATGTAGTTACAAACTGGTTTCAGGGAGGTCCTAGTCAGGTGAGTCGATGATGTGGGGCACTTTAGACGCATCAAGTCACATCAGGTGGAGTCAATGAAGTGAGGGTTGCTGTTAAGAAATTCCTTGTTCTCTGGAAAACTCAAACATTAATGTTAACAGAGAAATTTTCAACTTATATATATATGGATGCTGGCAAAGGCAACAGTAAGGAAGATAGTAAACATGAAAGAGATTAGACTTTCTGAAAAGGAACTGAGCATACACAGATAACAGTCCCTAATTTTGTTTTCTTTTGCCTTATATCAATGGCCCTTTGATATAATATGATATAATACAAAAATTCTGAATTTTATTTTAACAATATGCTTGGATTTAGAGTAGGAGAGCCAATCCAACTCCAAAGCCAGCTTCAGTTAAATGAAATGGGAGTAAAGCATATTAAGAAGCAAAGAAAAATGGATATTATAAAAACAATATGGAGAGATTTAGACATTGATAGCACACAGTGAATTACTGTTTGTTTGATGGTCCTCAGGGTAGCTACCCATTCTTCTTCAGGTATTCATATGTCCAGTATGTTTTGCTGTTTGGAGCTGAGTTTTCCTGTGAAGACAAAAACAAAGCACTTCTCCTTCCTTTTATGAAGTCTCCTTACACCTAGTAGAATTTGACCTTGTAGTTAGCTGTCATCTTTCATCCTCCTGAGGTTTCTTCTGTTCAGATCAAATCTTGATTAATTTTGATGGAATTAATGGTTTTCTTTCTCCTGTGGAACCAGAGGCAAAACCCCTTCCCCTATGTAACATATATCCTGGTTTCCAGACTGAGGTCATAGACATGCTTGAAATACACCAGTTGGTTTAGATCAGAAGTTTTTTTTTTTCTGTATTCCAATAGCTTTCTGCAGCTGTTTGTCCTTTTTCATTAGCATTAGGGAAGTTCAACAGTAGTAAAGCATTATGCAATCTGTGTTTGGGGTCTTTGTTTCCCCTTGGTTGTTTATGAAGCATTTCTTTTAAGGTGCGATGAGATCAATCAACCACTGCTTGTCATGTAGGATTGTAAGGTATACCAGTTGCAGGTTTTATGTTATAATATTTAAAAAACTGTTCAAATTTTCTGGAGACCCATGCTGGAGCATGGTCAGTTTTTATTTGTGTAGATATACCCATAAGAGCCATCACCTCTCAGAGGTGTGTGATAACAGATTCAACCTTTTCAGAGCTGAGGGCAGTAGCCCATTGGAAGCCCGAGAATGTCTGTATTTTATGGTATACATATTTCAAACTTCCAAATTCTGGATAGTGAAATACATCCATTTGTCAAATTTCATTTCTGCAAATACCTTTGGGATTACTACCTGCTGGTAATGGAGTTTGATTATAGAATGAACAGGTGGGGCAGTTTCTTACTATTTCCTTGGCTTGTTGCCAAGCGATAGAAAAATCCTTCTTTAAGTCTTTGCTGTTAGCATGGTGTTTCTTATGAAATTCTGAAGCTTCCAACACACTTACTATTAATAAACGATCAATCTCATCATTGCCTTGTGCTAGAGGACCTGGCAGACCTGTATGGGACCTGATGTGTGTTATATGTATAGGATGAGTTATATTTCTGATGGTTTCCCGTAATTGTAAAAACAATGAGGTTAATTTTGTATAGTCAGGAAAAAATTCTGCAGTCTCAATGTGTAAAATGACTTTCTCCATACTGAGAATTCATAACTATATTTAGAGGCTATGTAAATCTTTAATGACCACAAGAATGGTGTACAATTCTGCCATTTGTACAGATTGTAAGGGCTTTGAACTACTTTACTTATATATCCTGATGTATAACCTGCCTTACCTGACTTGTTTGCATCAGTGTAGAATGTAAGAACTCCAGAAATAGGCATTTTTCTTACAATATGTGGAAGAATCCAAATTGTTTTCTTTATGAATTTGATTATTTCTGTTTTGGGATAGTTGTTACCGATCATTCCCAAAACGTCCTGCAAGCCTATTGCCAATATTCATTAGCCTTCCATAAGCAGCAAATTTCCTCATTCATTAAGAGAACAACAGTCTCTGCTGAGTCCTCCGCAGTTAGTTGACAAAGCTTTAACTTACCTTTTAATATCAAATCAGAGATATTTTCTATGTATATCTTCAGTTTTTTATTCTGTTTATGTGGCAGAAATGTGCATTCTAGTATTATGTTTTCCCTCTGCATTAAT